AACATCGTGCAGCAACAATGAGTGTGACATAGCAGGCGCAGTTACCAATTAATTTTAGCTTTAAAACAGATTCGTAACGGCGCCTACTAGTCAGCAGGAGCAAGCATTAATTAGCAGCTTAGAAGAAAGATCGTCTGAAAGCAAGGCACATTAGGTACAATCAGTATATTTAATTGATCTTGGCATGTAGTTGCAGCAACGATGAATGTGACATAGAGGGCGCTAGAGGCAATTCATTTTCACTTTAAAAAGGATTGGCCCTGGCACCACCCAGTCTTGCTTCTGATCTTCGTGACTGTTAGTTCCTAAATATCATATATTATATAAATAATATAAAAAAAAAATATATATATATATATAATCTAAATTCAGACATAATGGCAGTTTCAAAATACGTCAAAGAAATTGAGTTTAAGCTGTAGATTATTTTAGAACTTTAATAACAGGACCAGCTCTGAAGCGTGACGTGTTGCAGCAACGATGAATGTGACATGGGGAGCGCTAGTGGCAATTCTTTTTACATCTTTAAAAAGGATTGCCCTGGCGCCACCCTGTCTGTGATGGGCGCCAACTTAAGATCTTCTGAGTTGTAGGTAAATTACAATATATTCCTTTATTCTTGTATCGTTGCGTACAAAATTGATGAATGTGACATAGAAAATGCAAGGACCAATTCTTTATAACCCTATCTATAAAGGATTGGTCCGGGCGTCTCCCAGTCAGGGAAGGGTTTCAACTTCGGATCTTCTTAGCTGCTGATTTGTCGTAGAGTATGTACCTATAAAAATTAAATAAGTTATCCACAAGGAGCACACAATTTTGTACAACATCGTGCAGCGATGATAAGTGTGAGATAGCAGGCGCAGTTACTTAGTCTTTTTAGATTTGAATAGGATCGGTAAGTACAATATTTAAGATATAATGGTAGTGTCAAAATACGTCAAATAAAATAAGTTAAAGCTGTAAAATATTACAACTCATTTTTAACAGTTCTAGCTCTGAAGCGTAATGTGTTGCAGCAACGACGAATGGCATACGGAGAGCGCTAGGGCCAATTCTTTTTAAAATCTTTAAATAGGATTGCCCTGGCGCCACCCTGTCAGTAATGGGCGCCAACGGCCAACTTAAGATCTTCTGTGTTGTTAGTAAATTACAACATATTTCTTTATCCTTGTATCGTTCCGTACAAAATCGATCAATGTGACATAGAAAATGCAAGGACCAATTCTTTATAACTTTATGAAGGATTGGTCCGGGCGTCTCCCAGTCAGTGAAGGGCGCCAACTTCAGATCTTCTCAGTTGCTGATTGTTCGTAGAGTACATATAAAAATTAAATAAGTTATCCAAGGGTATACAACGCACACAATTATAAACAACATGTTGCAGCAACGATGAGTGCGACATAGCAGGCGCGGTTACCAATTCTTTTTATCTTTAAAAAGGATTGGTAACGGCGACTAATAGTCAGCTGGAGCAAGCAGTAGTAAGCAGCATAGCTGCAGATTGACGAAAAGACAGATTAGGGAACAATGAAAGCCTGAAAGCAAAACAATTTAGTACAATAACTATAACTATTTCGTTGTTCTTTGCCCGTAGTTACCGTTATGATGAATGTGACATGGAGGGCGCTAGGGCCAATTCTTTTTATCTTTAAAAAGGATTGGCCCTGGCACCACCCAGTCAGAGAAGGGCGCCGTCTTGATGTCTTCTTAGTTGCTCTAGATTTTGATGCAGTACCTACATGAAAAATAATTAATTTAACAAAAGCACAAGGAGCACACAATTCTGTACAAGATTTTACAGCAACGATGACTGTGCAAAAAAAAAAAAAAAAAAGGGTACTGGGTAGCGTCTGCAGTAATAATGTGTGTGACATGGAGCGCGGACCAATTGCATTAGCTTTCAAAATGTGCTGCTCATTGTGTAGGTATATGAATATGTGCATGTGTGTGCTATGTTTCATAAAAAAAAATGTGTGTTCCTGAACCTATAATAAAATTCAGTAATATTTTTTTAAGCCTGGATCCTCCTCCCATATTCATATCACATTCCCCTAATCCTCAAACGCAATTGCAACTCCTCTGGTGTTGCGAATGTCCATAGGCGGCGATTGCTTACTATCTTACATAACATAACATAATATCCCGCCTTTTATCCCCGAAGGGGTAGGCAGAGGTGCACAATATGCCACTGTACAATGTAACACCCACTTTTCACTATTTAAGTTAAGAGTCCCATGTAATAGGGGTGAGCCTATAGCCATATACCGGGCACAAATCCACACTCCGTGCTACTACTGAGAAGTTTTAATTGCGATTGCTTACGATAGTCATAAAGAAAGAAAAATGCAGATAAGACCTAGTTTTCTAGAAGTAGAACAGCGCATCGATTCTAAGACGGTAAGGTCATCGCGCACCGCGCTGCGCCGGCTAGCGTTCTAGCTTCAGATCAATACTTTCTGCAACAAGGTTCTACAAGCGCATCTATGCATATATTATGTATAGAACCAAGGATGATGAAAAAAAGGTGAAGATCTACTCTTCAAACAACGACTGTGGCGCCTGGCTACTATAGACTTACACGCAGAACATACACACATTGACTCGGAGGACATCTGTCATTATCTAAGTCTGGTAACGTGGTCACCCATTACACACGCACACATAAATACACCACTGACATTTTGGTGCTTCTATTATATACAAGTGACATTATGTCCGCCCTTTCATCCTCCTTGTATAGAATCTACCAATAGGTCCCCAAGGACGTTGAACAAAACGTGGACATAGTCTCTTGAAACAACGGCTGTGGCACCTGGCTACTATAGACTTACACGCAGAACACACACATTGTCACGAAGGACATCTGTCATTTTCTTAAGTCTTGTAACGTGGTTGTTTGAAATTTGGGTGTTTCAATCATTTCTAAATCAAGTAAAATCACGGGTTACTCACGTGAATATACTGAGAAAAGCTCTACTAGCTCGCCGCGACCGCGCACGCTGCTCTTGAGGAAGAATCCCTCTGTGGTTCGAAACTAGTCGAGCTTTTCTCAGTATATTAACGTGAGTAACCCGCGATTTTAGTTAATTTCTAAATTACATTATGTCTGCCTATTTTTTCACGTCTTTGTATATAATCTACCAAAAGCTGCCTATATCGCTATAGTTACTGCAATGCGATGATCAATAAACTAGGCCCCTGAGTTTACGATCTCCGGTCACCGTAAGCGCGGGCCTGCGGACGGCGAGCATGGGTGGCTCCCCGTCCGAAACAGACCCGAGCGTACGGGGCGTCGCATTCCGCGCGCGTCTCAAAGAGTCATCAGACCACCACAGATGGGGCCCAATAGGGCCGATGCCGATTCGGAGTCGCGGAGAACCTAACGGGTAACCGGGGCTCCGGCTCGACGTGCAGGAGAAGGAACGGGATGGTTTTTAGTCAGTAAGAGTCTGACACTCCCTCCCGCCGCACCCAGGCGGGAGAAGTCATTCGATGATTTTCCCCCCTTAAAAAAAAGCCCCTGAGTTTAGTACCTATCTGAGATGAGGAATGTATTTAGTTTCGTGGGTTTGAGATAGTTCTATCATTGCTTTGGTAGCGCACTGGGTGGTGCATACGGCCCTGGGACTGCTTCTCTTCTCGATATATTGGTCACTACTCCTGGGGTACTTAGGTACTACCTTGCCCCCAGATCATGTAGGTTAATTAAATAGAAATAGACATAAATAAAAATCATATTAGATAGTAACACTTTACAATTTTTATTTTTTACACATTAATTTGATATTTTTACAAGCCAATTAAGATAGGTAGGTAGATGCCTACTTGATTACATTTATAGAAAAAAAAATAAGTTCCAGTCAATTTATATCGAAATATACTCAATATTCGTAATAAAACTGAAGATTCATAATTTTACACTATAAATGATTATCTCTGGAATACGAATAATACGGCCCCGGCCGCACTGACGCAGAACCGCGGCGGTTTTTAACCGCGAGGCCTCTCTTATGTACTTTGTGTAAAAAAACATTTGTATAATAATTATTAATATTGACCATATAAAAAGAAAATGTAGGTAATTGAATGACAAGAGCACCGACACAAGTCCGTAGAGAATAAAAAACTATCTTAATATGAAAAATAGGTACCGCAGGGTCTGGTCTCGTGAAATAAGAAACCGAATGCAGCCAGCGGCTACAGAGATTGTACCTATAATCAAAGGGCTACACTTACGGTTTTGTCCTGAGTTTAATTTTCATGGAATAAAATGTAGCGCGATAAAAACCGTCGCGGTTACGGCGCAGTAGCGCGGCTGGGTAGGTAACACGATTTCATTTTTTTTACTATTCATGGAATTGTATCACAGAGCATAAGGTTAAAACCACAGAAATTTGAAAAAAAAAAAGAGATAATAACAACTTACATACTATATGTAAGTTTAAATATAAAACTATTTTGAAATATTTTACTTAAAACCTTCAAAATACAGTTAGTTACACAAAAGTCGGTCATTTTTGGCGGCAAAACAAAAATAATTACTAAATTAATCATAGACAAATAATCAACTTTTTTTCATAAAATCGGATATTTTACAATAATGTATTATTTTTTTACATTAAATTTATAGACTATAGATAAATTAGATAAGTTTGAATAAACACAAGACACATACAAAATAACAAGTTAGGTCCCAGTTGTATCTAGGTCACTGCACAACTGCATTGCAGTGCACCGCGCAGGTATTGATCCAGTGTTCTAGATTCTAGACTATACCTACACGGTAGGTAAGTCTATACCTAAGGGTAGGTCTAAACCTACCCTAGCGGGTTTTATAGAATATAGAATATAGTATGTTAGTAATATGTAGACTATTCTAGAATACAGAATATGCCGTATATTGGGGCGATTTCCCAATAGGTACATTAGGGGTATTAGGGCATATTTAGAAAAATGTACACATTAATTATTATACTCAAAAATTTTAAACAACTTACCGTGGCCCAGTCGAAGCACGAACAGCATTGATAATGTTAGAATCAAATTGCCCAAACCGAAAAGAAATATTAAAAACACAAGTGTCCAAAACGCGAATGTCTTTCTATTTTTGTTAGCCGATTTAGGTACTTCATTGCCATTTTTATCCGAGTAATTTTTGACTCCAGAATTCTTAAAAAACTGGCAGTGAGTCGGTGTTTTATTTGTTATAATGAGAGCTTTTTCAGCGCGATTTCTTTCTAATGTCCCTTCCGACATCGTTTCGGAATTTAATAGCACGCCCGTCGAACTGCGCAAATCAATAGGTTCTAACACCATCACACATAGCACTCAAACACAACTTGTTTCCCTAGTTTTCAGTCCGACATTGGAAAGTATAAATAGCTCTCGCAGTACTGAACCGACTGAAACATAAATTTTTCAGGACGTCAATCAAATTATTGAGCGCACAGCCGCCGTTTTGATTGCTCGGTTTCTCAACCAATCAGAAGGCGGCGTCTGCTATTTGGATCAATATCTTCAAAGTGGGATAGATTGAATATCCAGGCTTTTTAGTTTATGAATTTATAGCATCTGTAGAATTGGGTAGTAGATGAAATGATACGGCAGTTATAAAGTCAATAATAAAACGTATATAATAATCAGACCAAAGGTTTATGAGAGTTATAAAGGAGCGAGGGAGCACACGCGATGACCGCTATTAATGTACTGAATACTCGACTAATATTAATTAATGAAGTAAGGAAAAATGCACGGATAAGCAGAAGTGCATTACTAGTGTATGGTTTCACCGTACATGCTCCCGGGCCAAAAAGATAAACAAAATCTATACAATGTCATCATCTAGTTTAAAGCGACACCTTCTAGGTACAGGTGATGTAGAGATATCGCGGTTACAATCGATACTCGCACTGGTTATATTCACTTCACTCGGCTGTCGGTCAGCCGTACTCTGCTTTCGCGAAAACACAACACTATTTGCTACACTTTGAGGTAACTCCACGGCAGTAACGGCTTGGCACCGCTTCCATATGATATACACTGCGACCAGAATGGCAGCACCCAGGAGGCAATAACTAATCGTATACAGATGAATGTCATGCGTCGACAGAGTGTAATCGAGTGAGTTAGTATTGTCAAATATGGTTTTAATTAAATGTTTCTTTATAAATAATATAACAGTATTTGCACAGACAAACTGCTGTAGTAAAAAGTATTTTGTTGATAGTACTTTTTGGAAAAAACCCGTTCAGTAAGGCTATCCGAACGATCGTGACAACTTTGACAATTTCCCAGGGCTGACAACATGACAGCGCAAAATTTTGACAATCTGCTTTGTAATCATGGCGTCCGAACGTTACAGTTTCTCTCTCACCACTTTTAGGTAAAAAAATAATTTATTTACGTGTTTTTGTGCTTTAATAATGTTTAAATTACCATTAGCGATATCATTTCTGCCGAATAAATATATTTGTGTGCTTAGTTTCACATTAATTCTAAGGTTTTTAGTGGTTCAATCTTACTGTGTATGTTTGGTGTAATTGTAATGAGAATTCTTTATTTTTCCACAGCCCTTCAGGGAAATTAGTTCAAATCGAATATGCTTTAGCTGCCGTAGCCGCTGGCGGCACGTCCGTCGGTATCAAAGGTAAGTTTTGTTTTTAATAGAGGTTATATTGGCGTCTTTGAATTATGCTTGATCATTACGAATAAAAATGCATATATTTTCGAGCTTGCCCTCACATTCACACTAAAACTAAGCAAAGTTGCCTAAATCAACATCAATTCTCGTTATAACTGCTTAGTATTGATATTTACACAATATAAAGTTGATATCCATTTTGACTTTCATTTCTGCTTTCTTCCAGCATCCAATGGAGTTGTGATTGCCACAGAAAACAAGCATAAGAGCATTCTGTATGATGAGCACAGCGTCAATAAGGTGGAAATGATCACTGGCCACATCGGTAAGTCATATTATGTTGATTAAATACTCCTTATTAGATCAAATTCCATAGTTGGCGCAGTGGCTCGGCTCGTTGCCATCCTGCCACCACACAATATAAATATATAATGTAGTATGACTAGGCTTCTGGCTGCAACTTCACCTGCATTCCATGATAGCCTTTGTGTTATCCTAGACTATATCCTATCCCGGTTCAAATTTCAACACATTTCCTTCAGCTGTTTTGACTTTGATTAAGTAACACATACAGGGAAACTCACGAACTTTCATCTTATCTTATTAATATAAATGGGAAAGTTTTGAGTTTGTGTGGTAGTGTATTACTCAACTAGCCTTCACCCATGGTTTTGTCTGCGTATTTCTGTTTTATCCAATAGGAGCATTCGGGATAAAATATAGGCTACTTTGTTACTCGGTTTAGGACTGCGGGCGAAGCTTCCTGGTAGAAGTTAGTTAATAATATTTCTAATTTAAGTGTAGGAGAGCCATGCTTCGGCACGAATGGGCCAGCTCGACCGGAGTGATACCACGGCCTCACAGAAAACAGACGTGAAATCAGGCTTGCTTTGTATTTCGTCGTGTGAGTGAGGTTACCGGAGGCCCAATTGCCCCCTTCCCCAGTCTCCCCAATCCCCGAATCCCCCACAATCCTCAAATTCCTAATTCTCAAAAGGCTGGTAACGCACTTGTAATGCCGATTGCTTACCATCAGGTGATCCGTCTGCCCGTTTACTGACTTATCCCATAAAAAAAAACACTATGATTAAGTTTTATTTTATTGCAATTAATATTCAATTGGGCACTTCTGAAATGTCATAAAATTGAATTGTTTGCCTGTCTGCCTGTCTGTTAGTGAAACTAGGCGCTCATTCCAAAATATACTTTCGAATGGATAAGAATGACCACGAAATTCCATCATCAGCAGCCTATAAATGCCCACTACTGAGCAAAGCCTCTTCTCACACGGAGAAGGTTTGAGCATTAGTCACCACGCTTGCTCAATGCGGGTTGGTGATTACAAACTTATAATTAGAAATTATAAGCCCAGGTTTCTTCACGATGTTTTCTTTCACCGTTTTCAGTTGTGTCTAAGTAATCTTAGAAAGTACATATAACTCGGAAATAGTCACATTAGTAATTGGGATGATGACAGGGTATGAAAATTAAAAATCTAATTAGTTCGTAAGTTAGAGAATTATATTTTGTCGTATAATATATTAATACTTGCCGTTGGTAGGTTTCTTTCTTGAGAAGTGGGTGTCTTAAACATCAGGACCGCCATAACTCCAACGTTACTCTTTTAAACAAAATGTCCTATACATTCTTATCTGATCTGTTACCTAATGTATGTGAGTATATTGTAACAACATTATAATGTCAAGAATTAATGGAACTACGGAATCAACTCAGTGTTACCAACTCTCAAAAATATTTATCAAATCAAATCAATTTATTTTTATCCCTAAAGCTTGTGTCAAAAACCCCTAAAATCGCCTTAACTATTCTGTTGTCCCCCTAAAAATAAAAATAATATACAATCATATTGATTAAGAAATAAGTATACTATATGACGCAAAAATGTTATTACAAAAATTTTTGTTCATATATATGTACTCAAACTCAAAAGCATTTATTTCAATTAAACCATAATTTTTACTTGAAATAAATGCTTTTGAGTTACTTTTGAAACGTCAACAAATATGAAATATATAATAGTCTGTCAGTCTGTCCGTCAGTGAAGCTAGGCGCTCGTTCTAAAATGTCGATTCGAGTGGAGAAGAACGAGCAAGAAACTCCATTCATTACTCTTTTTAAAAAAAAGTCTATTGTACAAAATTCATAAAAAAGAATGTTTGTTGACATTTAGATAGCAGTATTTTGACTAGTTGAAAACTATCGGATTACGCCCTAGATATCCTTATAAATCACTTTATCGAGAAACAAAATACTACATAATATGATCAAAAAAATCCCTAAAAATACCTCTAAGAATGACAGACCCGTAAAAAAATTCCATCACCCTTATTAACCCCCTAAATTTGGGGGGAACCGTGGTCAACTCCGAAATAAAATTCTTTAGACTTTAAATTACATAAAAAACTATAACTGATGTAACCCTTCCTTCCCCTAATTCCAGGTATGGTCTACTCCGGCATGGGACCGGACTACCGTCTCCTCGTCACCCAGGCCCGGAAGATGGCCCAGCAGTACTACTTGATGTACCATGAGCCTATCCCTACTGCTCAGCTGGTGCAGCGGGTAGCCACTGTCATGCAGGAGTATACTCAGTCTGGGTGAGTATTTTTTATATGGAATAGAAGGCAAACGAGCAGACGGATGACCTGATGGTAAGCGATCAGCGCCGCCCATGGACACCCTCAACACCAGAGGAGTCACAGGTGCGTTGTCGGCCTTTTAAAAAGGTATACGCTCTTTTCTTGAAGGTTTAAGTTAGTCGACTGCACGGTTGGTGCGGTGGCTGGGCAACCGGCTGCAGCGCAAATGTAGCGGGTTCGATTCCCGCACGGAGCAACACTTTGTGTGATCCACACTTCCACAGATTGTTGTTTCGGGTCTGGGTGTCATGTGTATGTGAACTTGTATGTTGGTAAACGCACCCACGACACAGGAGAAAATCCTAGTGTGGGGCAGGTTTTTTTTTAAAAAAAAAAAGTTGGCAATTTCAAACTTATAATTAGGAATTATAAGCCCAGGTCTCCTAACGTGTTTTCCTTCACCGTTTGTCAGTGGTGTCTAGATAATCTTAGAAAGTACATATAACTCGGAAAAAGTCACAGTGGTACTTGCCGTTGGTAGGTTTCGAACTCGCACCCTCATCATCATCTTAAACCTCCGAAACCTCCGGGCAATCACGACATTCCTAATACATTAATATATGACTAAATCATTAATCCACCAATATAATAAAAAACTATATTTTCAGTAAATAACAGTGCTTCTGTAACTTCACAGTGGTGTTCGTCCCTTCGGCGTCTCCCTCCTGATCTGCGGCTGGGACAACGACAGACCGTACCTGTTCCAGTGCGACCCATCCGGCGCCTACTTCGCGTGGAAAGCGACCGCTATGGGGAAAAACTATAATAACGGCAAAACTTTCTTAGAAAAGAGGTATGTATGTTTATGTTACTATCGTCATCCTCCTCCTCATCATTTAAGTATGGGAGAGCCAGAGAATATAATGTTCAACACACCAAAATAAACAACCACAAATAGCATGTCTAAAGCAAGGACTCATTAGTATCAATCTAGTGAAAATTATGAAAAAGATACAGAATGTAGATTTTTTCGAATTTTAATAAGAATTTGTTAACAAAAGTAAATTTTGTCATAAAACACAAAATAAATTATAACTCTGCAGGGGTTGACCTTAAGGACTTCCCGTAGAACAACTTTTTGCAGCTGATGACCCCATCTAGCCCCTATCTACGCCGATT